ATAGTCCCAGCTACTCGGGAGGCTGAGGCAGGAGAATGGCGGGAACCCGGGAGGCGGAGCTTGCAGTGAGCTGAGATCCGGCCACAGCACTCCAGCCTGGGTGACAGAGCGAGACTCCGTCTCAAAAAAAAAAAAAAAAAAAAAAAGAAAATAGCTGAAGGGTATGGTGTTATAAGCATTCTCTCATTTTACACACGTTCACACAGTGGACATAGAGGAAAGAATTATCATAAATGTATGGTAACTCACTTGTGTGAAAGAAAGCTACCAATCTCAACTATCAGATGAAATAAACCAAAAACCAAAATGAGTATGGTTGACAGTGTTCAATGTTATCTGAATTCTTTGCTCCTGGAAAGCAGGAGCAAAGGATGAGAAATTTTCTCACCCTCTTGTGTTCTGAGATGGCTAACCTAAAAAGACCACTCTATATTTTGACATAAGACCTGCCTTCACCATTTCTCAAGGCTCACTCATTTATCTGTCTCCACAAAATCCTAGATCTTCTTTCTTTTATTCTGAAAGATTCCTTATTAATGAACATTTTCTCTATTACAGTAGTCTTAATCAAGTCATCTCCTTAATTATCTGGTACATTTTTGACAACAGAAAAGCAGAAGCTTTAATGAAAATATGAATGTTTTTCTGTATAATGAATGAGCAGAGTAATATGCAAAAAGCAACCTAAGTTATTTAAGAAATCATAAGTAAAATTTCCAAAAGAATACAATTCAAAGGTAGTATTTACATGTTGGTGATCTGGATGATTAAACGGAAAGGTATTCAAAAACATAGTGTAAAAAGAAAAAGAGAAGAAACTGAATAATAAAAGTGAGGTAAATGGCATGGAACATCTATTGAGAACTTCAATATCTACATAATAGGAGTTCTGTAGGAAAAACCTTAGGGGTAGAGAACAAACAAAACTCAAAGAATTGATTGTTAAAACATTTCAAGAACTAAGGAAAGACAGACTTTTAGATCCAAAGGCTTATCAAATACCCAGGTGAAATATGTTGGGAGAAAAAAGATTCACGCTTGGAGCCATCCTAGTGAAATGTCTACGTTTCAAGAAAAATGATAAAATCTTTCCAAGTAGAAAATCTTGGAAAGGTTACTTATAAAGTAGCAATGCACAGAATAACACCAGCTATTTTAAAGAATAATGTCATCGAATAATAATGATAGCTAACATATTTAGCACAGTCTTTGTTCTAACTTCTTTGTACATGTTTCTCTTTGAATTTTCTTAACAACTCAATGAGGTAGATATTTATTATTAGCCTCTTTTTTCAGGGAAGGAAGTTTAGACACAAAGATGTTAAATAACTTGCCCACAGAAACACAGCTGGTAAGTGGTGGGAAAGGATTCAAGTTCAGAAAGCCTGATTCCAAAGTCTGTGCTTTGGACTGGCTTGAGGAAAATGCATTTATGTAGGTGAAACTATAATTCAAATGTGAAAATAAATATGTTTTTGGATATGCCAAGACTCAGACATTTTGCTGGATGAACTCACACAGGAAGAGCATGTGGACACAGAGAAAGGGTCCAGGACTGAGCCTGTGCATGTGAATGTTTAGAGGTTGGGCCAATGACTAGCCAAGGAGATGAAGAACAGTGGCCAGAATGGAGAGAGTGCAGCTCCAGACACTAAGTGAAGCAAGTGTTCCAGGAAAAAGGAAGGATGCCAATATCAAACACACCTATCAGGCAGAATGTGAGGGGAAGTAAAATGCAACCATCGGATTTGGCAATGTTGAGATCCTTGGAGAAGCTGGTAGACCTGACTAGAGTGGATTCATGAAGGGGAGGAGAGGCCTTGGGTGAGCAGGCGTGACCTCTTCCTGACAGCAGGTCCACCTGGACTCATACATGGCAAAGAGAGCCACGTCCAACTTGATAAAAGGTCTAAACTTAAATTACAGGTTTTAAACTATTAGACACAAGTATGTAGGGATGTATGTATATCTTACAGTGGGACTTTTTTAAGCAAAGAATGAAATTAAGAAGCTGAGCTACATAAAAAGTGAAAAGAATTTTTTAAAAAAAGTAAATAGGCAACAATATACAGGTGAAAGTATTTGCCATCAATAAAGCAGGAAAAAGATTTCAATTTTCAGCAAAAGGTGAACAAATGAATATAAAAACTTCAAATAGTTGAAAAATAATTTAAAGCTGAAAACCTAATTTAAAGAAGATGAAATAAGAATACATAATACAAATATAAAACAAAGAATTTAAAAAACTAAGAAGAAAACATTGGTAGATTGAAAAGTATACAATTGATACTATTTTGTTCATTCTGAAAAAATAAAGAAAACTTTAAATATGCTGAATTGAGATGAGGTAGGAAAAAAGATTACTCTCATACACTATTGGTGGGAATGTAGGTTGATACAAATTTTTTGGAGCCAGTTTGGAAGTCTTTTTCAAAAGTTAATTGATAATTTAAATCTTAGAATTTAGTCCAGCATACATCACTGCATCTGTGTTATCGGGGGAAACCAGCCCCCAATAATTCAACGTTATTTCACATAGGTTCTTTTCTATTTCCCTAAGTGCCAGCTGGTCTGAGAAATAAAGGGAAAGAGTACAAAAAAGATAAATTTTAAAGTTGGGTGTCCGGGGGAGACATCACTTGTTGGCAAGTTCCGTGATACTCCCTGAGCCGTAAAACCAGCAAGTTTTTATTAATGATTTTTAAAAGGGGAGGGAGTGTATGAATAGGGTGTGGGTCGTAGAAATTACATGCTTCACAAGGTAATAAAATATCACGAGGCAAATGGAGGCAGGGCGAGATCACAGGACCGGGGCAAAATTAAAATTGCTAATGAAGTTTTGGGCACACATTGTCATTGAGAACGTCTTATCAGGAGACAGGGTTTGAGAGCAGACAACTGGTCTGACCAAAATGTATTAGGCGGGAATCTCCTTGTCCTAATAAACCTGGGAGCACTACAGGAGACCAGGGCTTATTTCATCCCTTATCTACAATGGTAAAAGACAGATGTCCCCAAAGCGACCATTTTAGAGACCTCCTCTTGGCAATGCATTCTCTTTCTCAGGGATGTTTCTTGCTGAGAAAAAGGATTCAGCAATATTTCTCCTATTTGCTTTTGAAAGAAGAGAAATATGGCTCTGTTCCACCTGGCTCTCAGGCAGCCATACGTAATGGTTAGCTCCCTTGTTCTTGAACATCGCTGTCATCCTGTTCTTTTTTCATGGTGCTCAGATTTCACATTGTTTAAACAATTTGTGCAGTTAAAGCAATCATCACAGGGTCCTGAGGTGACATGCATTATCCTCAGCTTATGAAGATGACAGGATTAAGAGATTAAAGTAAAGACAGGCATAGGAAATCACAAGAGTATTGATTGGGGAAGTGATAAGTGTCCATGAAATCTTCACAATTTATGTTCAGAGATTGCAGTAAAGACAGGTGTAAGAAATTATAAAAGTATTAATTTGGGGAACTAATAAATGTCCATGAAATCTTCACAATTTATGTTCTTCTGCCATGACTTCAGCCAGTCCCTCCATTCAGGGTCCCTGACTTCCCACAACACTGTGTAAAATGAAGCATGCACAGAAATATTTTTTGCAATATTATTTATAATAGTAAAAAAAAAAAAACAAAACTAGAAACAAATTTAATACCAATCTATGGCTGCACAGTTAAATTCACTATGATGTTGGAATATTATGTAACTTTAAAGAAAAATGAAATAAATTACATTGGAAACATGAAATGACCAAGCAAGTGTTAAGTATGAAAAAGCAAGTTACAGCAAAACTTATTGATCAAATTTGATTAAAAAAGAGGAGATCTAACTAGCTGCTACGATCTGATTTGTGTCTACCTAAAATTTATATGCTGAAACCTAATTCCTAATGCAATAATATCAAGAGGTGGGGCCTTTGGGAGATGAGTAGGTCATAATACCACTATCCTCAAGAATAGGACTAATGCCCTTATACATGAGGCCCAAGGGCTCCTTCCACCACATGAACACACAGCTAGCAGGGACCATACCTGAAGCAGAAGGCCCTCACCTGATACAAATCTGCTGGGCCATGATCTTGGACTTTCCAACCTCCAGAACCATGGGCAATAAATTCCATTGTTTATAAGTTACCCAATCTAAGGCACTTTGTTATAGCAGCCTGAATGGTACTATGACACTAGCCTACTAATGAGATATAAAAGAAGAATGTCTGTAAGTCTACATGAAAAATGTAACCTGTAATGACCTCTGAGGGGTGGGTTTAGTGTATGAGGAAAGAGGAAACAATGGATCATCATCTCATTTTACCCAAAAGTTCATCAAATCACTTGATGTTTTTAAATAAGTAATATTTTATTTTAAACGTTTAAAGGAAGAGGTTTTTTAATTTTAAAAAGATAAAAAAGAAAGAATAATTATATTCTTTACATTACAGAATATACCAAAACCAGTAGTACATGGACACAAGAGATAGATCTAATGGTGAAACCTAAAAGATCTAAAGGGTTTCTCACAATTAGAAAGATCACTATAAAGATAAAGCATCTGAAAAATCACTGACTAGAGTACTTGCCTTTTCGTTTAATGTATATGTTTGCATAAAATATGCATGTGTATTTTAATATATGCATATAAAATTAGACACACATGGGAAATATGACAACAGGGCCAATTTTCTGAATGACAACATTTTTTACCTTATATGTATTTGTGTAAAGTTTCTTTCTTTCCAAAGAACAGTAACTGTGTTTAACCATAAAGTAAAAAATTAAATTAATTTTATATGATTGCTACATAACATCTAACAATCTGGTGTTGGACAACAGCCTGCACATAAGGAAGTGTGTCTTGTTCAGCCTGACCAAGGACAGAAGAAAGGATGCAGCAGCACAGGAAGAATAGATTTTCCTTCTACCCTTGTTTGCTTTGGCATTATTAGATCCAATAATGAGAACCTGGACTAGGAGATTGGTTATTGATTATTTGCATTCTTTGTATTTAGCTGCTGGAGAAGGTGAACTGGGGAGAGAACTGTGTTTGGTCATCAACTTCGCATAGCCCAGTAAGTGGATTTTTAGATTCTGAACACTTTCCCTTGAATTGTTCGACTTTTCTGCCTTGGAATTGCATCTGTCCCATGAAGGGGTAGGGTATTGCCTTTTGCATCTGACTAGTCACCCAGTTTCTGGGGAGAAATGAGGTTACTGCTAAGCTGTGTGGATCACAGACATTTTGTTTGGTGAGTCTGTTTGGGAATCTCCAGGCAAGTGGTGGGAAAACTGGTTCCAAGTTCATTGTATCCTTGTTTTTTTCTGACTATGATTTCATTCGGTAGGAAACAAGTGAACTTTGACCTCTCCATGGGGCAGACACATGGCAGGTGCTGCAGACTCAGTGTTGAGCACCACAGTGGAGAGTGCAGGGAAGTTCAGCAATAACTTATTTATAATTCTATCTGATAAAAGCTGCAATGCAGAAGTGTGTTATGGACTGTATTTTGTTCCCCCAAAATTGATGTGTTGAAGCCTTAATTTAACCTCTAACACCTCGGAATGTGACTGTATTTGGAGACTGGGTCTTTAAAGAGGTAAAATTAAAATGGTGCTATTTGGAGGGGCCTTTATCCAATCTGATTGATGTCCTCATTAAAAAAGTTGATACGGACATCCTGAGAGACACCAGGGATGCTCACATGCAGAGAAAAGGCCATTTGGAAGCCAAGGAAAGAAGCCTTGGGAGAAATTAAACCTGCTGACATCTTTGATCTTGGACTTCCAGCCTCTAGAGCTGGGGTTCTTTCTGTATTTGAGTAACCCCATCTGTAGCACTGTTGTATGGCACCCCTAGCAAGCCAATACAAAGTTCAAGGTGCTCTTAGAAGGAGGAAGGACTGCTTTCCACCGGGAGATCGATCTGAAGAATGATTGATGGTTAACTGTAGGGGTCCTGTGAATGCAGTACAGTGAAAGGATCCTAAGTGAAGGGAGAAGTCATTCAAATATTTAAACAGGGCATTCCTATGATCTCTTTGAAATTTTTTAAGTAAATATAGCTACACCATGGTAACCAGTGAGGATCTTGGGTCAACAAAAGAGACTGAAAAGCAGTGCACTGGCATCAGGAAACGAAACAAGAAGAGTGTGCCTTACTGAGAGCCAGAAAGTCGAGTGGTCCTCAAGGCACCTTGAGATCAAGAGGTTAACTAGATGTTGGAGAGCTTGGTGACTCTGACTAGAACTTCTGATGCAAGTCCAAAGTTTAAACCAGATTCAAGTGGCCCGAGGAGGGAATGGGAGTAAGGAACTGGATGTTCTGTTATTAGACAGCCCTTTTGAGAAGGGCGACTGTCAAAGACAGAGGGAGTTTGAACAGCCGCTGGTTATTTGGAGGGTGACACAGCTAGCTTCAGAGTCCTCTAATACCGTACAATGGTTTTCAGTGTGCAGAAGCAGCAGCAGCATCACCTGGAAACTTGTTGAAATGAAAATTCTTAGGCCCCGCCTCAGACCTACTGATCAGAACCTGTGGGGGCGGAGCCTAAAAATCCCCTGTCCTAGAACAGTCTTTCAGGTTTACAGAAATAGGCTGACTATAGTCAGAAGAGCCCTCATCCCTGATGGAGTTTCCTTCCCAAGTTTTAATGCCTTTAGTTCATTTATTGCTGTTTCATAAAGGGAGATATGCAAAGTGTACCCACACTGCCATCCATACAAGAAATAGTAGTGGGTGGGCCGGGCGCGGTGGCTCACGCCTGTAATCCCAGCACTTTGGGAGGCCGAGGCGGGCGGATCACAAGGTCAGGAGATCGAGACCACGGTGAAACCCCGTCTCTACTAAAAATACAAAAAATTAGCCAGGCGCGGTTGTGGGCGCCTGTAGTCCCAGCTACTCGGGAGGCTGAGGCAGGAGAATGGCGTGAACCCGGGAGGCGGAGCTTGCAGTGAGCCGAGATCGCGCCACTGCACTCCAGCCTGGGCGACAGAGCGAGACTCCGTCTCAAAAAAAAAAAAAAAAGAAATAGTAGTGGGTGAGTCTAAGAAAGGTGAAGCTTCTTGCCATAATAGTTTTGGGAGCTTACTGTCTTCAGTTGTATGTTAGAAGAAGTTTGATTTTTTTTTTTTTTTTTTTTTTTTTTGGTGTGCTTGTTTCTTCTCTATCTACTTTCGAATCTCACTTGCATTGACTTAATATAACTTTTGTTATGTGCACTCAGTTTATTTGAGGAATTTTTTTTTTCTATGGCTTTATTTTGTATTTATTTGTGTTTATCATATCTCTGAATTTAGCAATGTCTTCTTTACCCACATCACACTATCACCATCAGCACATGTGGCTGATGGTGAGGAATACAGAGAGGCCTCGTGCCTGTGTGTCAGTGCAGAGCTTAGCATGTAATCAGACACAATGCCGGTTAGCTGTTCTTATCACCATGAGGGGACTGCAGCCAATGCTAACAATGGCACCTCACCAGACTGTGCTCTGCACTGGAGCTTCACTGTTAATTGACTCATTCAGTCTTTCAAACAGTAGTTAGCTTTTTGATTCCATGAGCTTGATTTTGTTTAGCTTTATAGGTCTCATGTGCACAAAGGAAACACCCCTCTTTTGTTCTTTCTTTTCTCAGCAAGAACGATAAAATAACCATAATCTTTTCCTTGTGTATTCAAAATACTCTGACTGAAAACAAACTTAAATTCTAGAAAGCTTTATAATGATTTAAATTACAATGGCACCGGTTTTTTTTTCTGCTTGTCATTATCTTCCTAGGCTTTGTCACTTCCATGGCAACACATACTGTATTTTACTTTGTGTTTAAAAATTATTTATGCTGAGCCATAAACTAGTTTTTTATGAATATTCAACAATGCCTTCCAAGTGGCAAAATGTTCTGAGCCTTGTCTTAAATCCTTCCCACGCACAACTTTTAAAATAATGCTTTGAAGTGCAGTGCTGATCATGTCGCTCCTCTGCTCAAACCCCATCAGTGGCTCCCCACTGTAGAGCAAGGAAAGCCTATACCCCTTGGTCTGACCTCTGCCTCCTTTTTTTCTCATCAGATGAGTAATGCACCAACATCATAACAAGGTTTGAGGATGGCACTTCTCACACATAAGCATGAAAACCCAATCATCACGCTTAGAAACTACGAAAGGATCAGACTTCTGCCTCCTTCATAATCTTGTCTCAACTTGCCTTTAATGTCTTTCCATCTCACATCTGACCTCCTAATATACATCTGAGAATGCCTCGTCTATAAACTACAGACGGCTTATTAAAAGTGGCATCAACAATGAAGACTCTATTACATCACAGAAAGGAAGTATGAAAATAGGAGGGCAATGACTGTTTACTTTCTCTGCAATTCTCTTGGTGTTCCCTTAATAGTCCAGGGATGGTTGTTCCCCTTCTAATGGTCACCTGCTGAAGGGGCAGAATAGAGAAAACTCATCTTTTGTCTAATACCATGAATGAGACAAACCTTCTCTGAGCCTTCCAGCAAACTTTCCTTGGTATCTATTAGACAGAGTGTGTTTCACACAGACCACACACCTAGACTGAAGAAGGAGACATTCAGAATTGGCCGAAGCTAATGAGTAAGCAGCTTGTGGCTCTGGGCAGATTCCTGCTTTCCACAAAGGACATGAGTACTCAGAGGAAGATGAAGAAAACCAGAGTTCAGTTGTTGAAGAAGGGAGGAGATAGCTACTGTGTGAACAGCTTTGTTGACATGAATGACACAGTTGGTGGTCTACACCCTAGTTTTCAGACTAGGGCCAGGTGCAGTGACTCATGCTTGTAGTTCCAGCACTTTGGAGGCTGAGGTGGGAGGATCACTTGAGCCCAGGAGTTGAAGACTATCCTGGGCAACATGAAAAATCCCCAGCTCAACAAAAAATACAAAAGTTAGCCAGGTGTGGTGGCGCACACCTCTGGTCCCAGCTACTTGAGAGGCTGGTGGGAGGATCACTTGAGCTGGGAGGTCAAGGCCGCAGTGAAGCATGAGGGCGCCACTGCATCCCAGCCTGGGTGGTAGAGCAAGACCCTGTCTCAAAAATAAATAAATAAAAATAAAAATAAACCAAAACTAAGACTAAGAATCATGTATTTCTTTGTCACTACAGTTGCAATCCTGGGAGAAGGAATTGTACTCGCCCCTGGAAAAGCCTGTATAATATGTACTGTATCTACTTCTTTTCGAAATCAGATTCCTACACTAGGCCTAAGATACTTGAAGCCACTTATCTCACCTAGGGTCCTTCTGACCTCTTTTGGCTAATGTCAGTCTCTTTCATGGAATCCACCTCCTGCAGGTTTCTGAGGCAGAGCTTATTTGTGACTGATGGGTCCTAGGAATGCTTCTCCTCTGGATGCTTTCCAGTGAGCAGATAGCACTCAGGCCATCCTATGAAGAGACCAAGCTGGCCCATTCCTTCCGCAGGCTTTGGAATCAACTGGCAGCCCAAGACTCCATGACAGTTATTATGCAGCAGCTCCTGGATGTATCTACCTGTATGCTCTCCTATGTTGTTGTTTATACAATTTCTTTTCCCTGGATTGCAGCTGTTACCCTTCTCCCCTCCTTAAATCCAAGTGTGTATCTGATTTGTGTAGCCAAGTAATATTTTATTTAACAAATTTTCACATGATAAAAACATAAAAAAGAGGTGATTTTTAGGGGATCAATGAAGTTGGATTTTTTTTGTCACAAAGTAGAAGTATAGGTATAATAAATTTACACAGAATTATTTTTTATTTTCTTTGAGGTAAATCAATGACAAGTATATGACTATAGACTGATATTTGTCTTTAAAACTGTTCATTTATATATGTAGAGGTACTAACTTAATAAATGCATTAATGAAGAAAAATATACAAGTTTATACATATTGGACAGAATAACTTGAATTATTGTTAATAGAAACATCTCTAGAAGTGTTTTCTTCTTTTGAGATGTTAGAATTTGGTCATATAACCAACAACATAGAGAATCACTCACATAGAGGAAATGTGATACTAGCCAAATAAATCCCTTGCATTATTTACAAGAAGCATTAATTATTTATCCACTAATTTAATTGATTTGAACTATAACCAGGAATCAAACATAAGGGCTTTTTGCAGTAGGTTTAGAGCTTGAAGAATTTAATCTCATGAGTATAGTAAATGAACTTGTTCTCCATATTACTCCATCTCCAGTAAGCATAGCTTGAGAGAAATTTCTATATTAATTCTGTCAATGTTCATATTATTTGAAATGGCATGTAAAACACACATGATTAAAGTTAAAATTATTGTTTTATTATATCATTGAATAATTGAAAATAAAACTATTCACTAATCTGAATAAGACTGAATACAATACCTATTCTCTTTTACTAGATACCCTTCCTTTTTCAACATAATTGTGTTATTTGTTTACTTGTTTGATTTTTACTCTTTAGAACCTGCCTAATAAGTAGTGTATTTCTTGCAAACACCTTTAACTTTGATAAAGTAGGCACCACACACAACATTTTAAAATGCTATCTTAAAATATTGATAATACTTCCAGGTAAGAGGCAAAATGTATGTATTTCATGTTTCCAAATAAAGTCTATTTCTACTTGTAAAACGTTATTTTTTTTGAAAATTTTCTTTTATTGGGTACTCAGTGACTAATATATAACATAAAATATTGTAACTTTTTGCAAATTTTATTTTATTATAAATGAAGAAATTGATATATACTTTCATCTTCCTCTTAAAGTGTACCTTCCTAACTAACATGGCGCCCATAAAACCAAATGATCCAGTAGTCATTTCTAATGAATTATATGATATTCACATATTTGAACTGGTCCTGGGAATTTATAGTCTGTGATGACTTTTAATCCAGGAAGACTTGATTCACAAGCTCCCTGCCATTCTAGGAAGGTTCTTGTTTTAGTCTGCACTACAGAAGTGCCCCTGCAATCTCCCACTAATCGATCAACCTGAGCCTGCCTTGCCTCTACTCATATAATACAACCCAGGGAGTCTTCTGGGGCCAGAAAACCAATTTGCTTCTCTGTGAATCTGTACAATGTTTGGAATTTGTCTGAGTTGACAGTAAAACTACTTGACTGACAAGGTATGCTGACAGATCCCCCCACCCCCGCACACACACACTGCACACACACAATCTGATAAATGGGGGGAAAATATATAAAGCTGTGGTAAATTCACTAACGGCCTAACTCGGTAGGAGAAGAGATCAGCAATTTATAATTTTAGCAAGAATTTTTCACTTGCTATCTCTATATAAAGGAGGAAGCTTTCTCTATCTTAATTATTTTTCAAAATGTAGCCTCTGACAAGGTCAATCTTGACAGATGTCCTCTATAAAGAAAAATGGTTGCGGTATGTTCTCCCAGAACAGTGCTTTCTGTTGGGGAAGCTTGATAACAAAAGCGCTCGAGTGGAATTTCAGGGCATTTTCCTGTGTGCCACTGAGGAACACTGGTCCAGCGGCTTCCTCTGGTTACTGCAGCCATCAGTCTTCTTCTCTCTTTGTCAAGGAGGTAGTCTTCATCATGGTCCATATGTCTACCTCCCAGGGATATCAAGCATCTTCTTTTGTCTTAAATGATTTTTATAGCTTCCATTTACAACGATCACGGAGGCTTACAGTTTCAGATGAGATTCTTCAAATTTGTGTATTCTTGTGGCATTTGGGGTGAGATATAGTTAGATCTAGGTCGTATTTAAGATCTATCTGAAAACTTTCTCACTATTAGTGGACAAATGCTGCATCTCATAAGATTCCCAGGAGCCTACAAGATCATGGCAAAAACTGTGGCTGGAAATTCCAAATATCATTCCTCCCAGTTGCAAGTAAAGGCTGAAGGCTTGTTCTGATTCTTCTGACTATCCTCCCACTGCCTCTGATGGGTTGTGGGTTGTCACAATGTTGGCTCAACAGTGAGGTTTGAGTGACTGAATACTGTAATGGGTATATGAAATATGGAACTTAAAGGTTTCCTCCTTTGAGCTGAGCTGGAGGTGTCTGGTAGGCTGCATGTCATGAGTAGGAGGTTCCACTATGTGTTCTGGCAGCACCATATACTTCTCTTTTGTAGCACTACTATTTATAGCACTGTTAAATTACTGTCTCCATAATAAATCTGTGAGCCTTATGAAGGCAGAGAATGTACAATTTGCTCACCATAGCTTTTTTGGTACCTAGATACACTCCACTGAATCAATGTGTGTATGTATGAATGAAAGATTTAGTAGTTCAATGTCTTATATTTTAGAGACTATGGTATGCATATATGTACATTTTTAAAGCAGTATATTAAGTCATGAAATAGTCCCCACTTATGCAGTCATATTTTAATTATTTGATTACTACCCTAAATACATTTGATTTCTAATAACTCAAATGCAGATATCTCAAAATGCTAATAATTACATTACATTTTCTTAAATATCAGACCTTGTGAACTACTTAGTAAAAGTACTAAGGAACACAAAAATTCCAGGGGTTATTGGATTGCTTTCAGGCTACTTCATTTAGGCTACCTTATTCAGTAAATTATTTTATTTTGCACCTCCTTTACACTAAAAGAGATTAACATATCTTTATATTTCAACTTCTGTTTGGCCCCTTGTGTCAAACATGGCGCACTGCAAAATACTGGTATGATCTACCAGATTTGTCAAAGGATAGTTGATAGTGCTTTCAACTGAACACATCCTTTGTAACTTTTAATAAAGAGTAATAACATTTTATATGCAGTAAGGTACAATAGCCATTGAAAACACAATATTCTCCCCAGGATCACTGATATAATAGCACATCCCTTTTCAGTTGCTGAGATTTTTGTAATCGTCTTTTTCGTTCTTGGTTAGATAAAAACTTAAATGTTGTTTGCCGAATAAAAAATTATATATTGTTGATATTTCTCCAATACAAGGAATAATTTAAAATTATCAATCTTTTTTCAAAAATAGCAATGCAAGTGGGGAAGTAAATGTGGCCCTGAATACAGAATAGGTGAAATCATGTCATTACTTTTTTTCATAATCAAATGGCCCTGAAAAAAAAACCAAACACTCTTCACTGGTTAACATGATTAAATGAAGATAAGGTTCTCTCATTTCCTCTGAATGGGCAACAAATAAATAAAACACAAATACAAAACGCTCACGGATACTTTGTACAAGAAGTTAGAAGAATAGTAGTGGCTGTTTTAAGTGTAAAAGAGGGAGAAGAGAAACGCAGGGAAAGGGAAAGGGAAAGTAAGAGGGAAGGAAGAGGAGGGAGGTGAGGCCTCTCCCGAGTCATAAGCAGCCCTCTCTACGTATGAGCATCCAGACACACCCATGCCCACTGGAAACAGCAGCCAGCCAGTCACACACCTAGGCAAAAAGCGGAAATGAACGGCTTTTATGGAGCTATTACTTCTAGGATGTATAATGCATTGTGAATAAGCAATTACTCGAATAAAATCCTAGTTCATTCCAAATGTTACTTATCTATTTTTCTAGATATATGAAAAACAAGCTTAGTCAATTCCCCTTTTTATTAATTAATGCATGTTTAGACATCCGGTTTATAATGTTAAGTAAAGCGGCTTGCATCTTTTTCCTTAAAGCTGTACTGAC